AGGGGTCAGGGTTAGGGGTCTTCAGACTGACCAGCGGCTTGGAGTCGCTGAGGACGTGGTACTGCAGGAACTGGTGCAGCATGTAGAAGAGGTTGTGCTGCACCAGCGTCTTGATCACCAGCTCGTACAGGTAATGCTGCAACACAAAGGGAAGCACCACCGTCACTCCTGCTGCAGGTAGCAGGTAATCATTTCAAGCTCCTCTAAAGTGCGAGTGTGCGTGTTGGAGGCGGAGATGTGTGAGCGTGTCCGGTGAGGAGGCGCCGCTCTGCTCGCCGTTACCTGGACGGTGATCTGGTGCTGGTTCAGGGAGCGGATGTACTCCATCAGCACGGCGATGACGAACTTGTGGGAGACGCCCTGCAGGACGACACACGGCTGGTTATTACCACCGCTTCACACCTCGACGCGTTCAAACCAGGTTCCAGCTGCTTTCATTTCAAGTAAAAACATTTCTAAGTGAAGGAATAATTTCAGCCTGAATCACGTATCCGGAAGCAAAAAGGTTTGGAAAGATTCAAAAACATGATTATTTTATTTATTACTAACTGTGACATTTGAAGATCTCACACGTCGCTCTTGAATCAAACTCGTCCGATTCCAAATTATTAGAATATTTCCTGTGTTGTTCGTCTTTGGTGACAGAAACCTGAACAGTTAAACCAAATGATTCCATCTGTTTCTACACCGTCTAGTGAATAAAATCCTCTGATCCAGCTTCACAAATATTTTCTGTTTTCTTTATCTTCCGTCACAGGAAACAGAACAAGTTGGTGTTTTTTCGTAACTTTATCCAATAAAATCAAAAACAAACAGTCAAATAAGAGCAAAAACAGTCGTTACTGGAAACAGTTTCTCCAAATGTCAGAGATAAGACCTACATGTTGGAGACCATCAGAGGATTTTAACCCCTGAAGCCTCACTGGAGAAACAACAGCGACCAAAGACCAAAAACCTTCCGACTGCAGCTTCACAAAGTGGAACATTTTCTGATTTCTTTGTCTTCTGTGACAGTAAACGGAATAATTTGGGGTTTTAGAAACTTTATCAGACAAAAACCAGAACCTGGGAGCTTCTGAGGATCGTTGTTCAACATCTTCTGACATTTATTCACTCGTTGGGAACGTTTAGTCGACAACAGACTGTGTGTTGTTGTGTGTTGTTGTGTGTTGTTGTGTGTTGTTGTGTGTTGTTGTGTGTTATTGTGTGTTGTTGTGTGTTGTTGTGTGTTTCTGTACCTTCCTCTCGGTGAACGACGACAGGACGTGAGTGTACATGTCCGACTGGTCAATGACCGCCTGGGTTCTGACGGGCCGTTTCTGGGCGGCGCTGCCTCGACTCGGTCCCGACTCCATCGCCTACAAACGCACAGCGCGCGTGTCGTCACCGCTTTCGCTCACAAACCTTCAGCAACAACAGAACGACGGACAGAAACGTGACTCACCACGGTGTAGCTCTGCTCGGCCTCCAGGTATTCTTTATACACCTGGTTGAGCTTGTCGAAGACGGTCGCCACCACTGGAAGACTTCCCTTCTCGCCGCCCTCCAGAACTACGACAGAAGGTTAGCCGTTAGCGTGATGCGAGGACATGACAGCGGGTGGCTATTTAACAAGTACCACACTGGGCAGATTATAGGAGTTTATTGGGCTAGAAGTTTGGAAAACCGAAGACGAGCAAGAAGGAGACGAGTGAGGGAGGCCACCAAGACACCTACGACTCCAAACTCTACATTAATGTGTTTAAAAACTGCAGCCAAGTCGACTTTACGTCCACGTCAGGCGTCACGATCTGAAGACTAAACCTGTGTTTTGTGTTTGATCTGTTGAACGCAACGTACTCTGCAAGCAGACCGACAGGATGACCATCTTGCAGTCTCTGCGTCGCAGCAGGAAGTCCATCAGCTTTCCTTTGTCCTGCAGCAGGTTGACTGTTGGAGGCAGCTTCACCTGCAGGTACCACAGGTAACCTGGAGAACAGGTGAACACGCAGACGTTCATCAGCAACAAACTTATGACTGATTAACTCGCTGTAGTCCACTACAGGGTTGGGTGGCTAGCCAAGCGATACTAGCAACTAGCCTACAGATCTAAGTGACTAGAGAAGCTAATTGCTCCAATAGTCTAGGGATCTTAATAGCTGGCCAAGGGATGCTAGTCGCTAGCAAAGTGATTTAGTTTCCTAACCAGGGGTGTAACCTACAGATGATAGTCGCTAGTCTAGGGCTCTTACAGGCTAACCTGGGCATTTTAGTGATTAGGACGACGGTTACTAGCGTAAGTATCTTAGTGACTAGCTTAGGGGTGCTAGCAACTACCTTGAAATGCTAACTACTAGCCTAGGGATCTTTGTGACTAGCTTGGGCATACTAGTGCTTTGACTTGAGATGCCAGTCACTAGACTAGGGATGCTAGCTGTTACTCTAGAAATTCTAGTCGCTAACCTATTGATCATAGTGACTGGCATAGTAGTCGCTAGATAAGAAAAGCTAGCTGCTGACCTAGGTATCTGAGGTATTAGCCCAGGAATCTTAGTGACTTACGTGACTTAGTGATTAGCCCAAGGATGCTAATGACTAGCCTAGAGATGCTAGTTGCTAGCGTAGGGATCTAACATACTAGTCTAGGAGTCTTAGTGACTAGGCGACTTAGTGATTAGCCAAAGGATGCTAATGCCTAGCCTAGAGATGCTAGTTGCTGTCCGTTGGGTCTAACCTACGAGTCTATGAGTCTTAGTGACTAGGTGACTTAGCATTAAGCCCATGGGAATGACTAGCCTAGAGATGCTAGTTGCTAGCTAGGAGTCCTATTTCCGGGACACTGTCATGCATGTTTATGTCGTCAGTCCTTGACATACCTTCACTGGCACTGATGATGATGTCGGGCTGGAAGACGCTCCATGAGGACGAGTCTACGGAGACTTTCAGGAAAACAAACCCTCTGACTCACAGAACAAACCAACAGAACTGCTTGAGTTTAAGGATACAGAGCTGACACGGCACCGGAGGCTGAGACGGGACGACGGCTGGACCTGCAGAGACGAGAAGGATGGATGACGACCACTAGGACAGAAGAAGTTAAGAGCTAAACTCCGAGTTAGGAGGAGGCGTACCTGCCAGTGGTATCCTGTAGGGGTGTATGGACCTGGCAGGCAGGACGGGCTGGTGGGTGTTGACGGCACAGTCGGGTTCCTTCAGCTTGATGTCGAAGATCAGAGACGTCTGAAGCAACAGTGAGGAAACACCTCGCACCGTTAGCAAACCGCCGACACGTCTAACTCGTTCATTGTGACTCACGTATTCCTGCTTCACCGACCTGAGAGCTCTGGTGATGGACCACCACCAGGTTGTCCACGATGTTGAGGGCAAACTTCCCCGTCGTGTTCAGCTTCAACACGTGACTCTTCTTACACGCTCCCTCCCTGGAAACACATTCAAATACCAGTCAGTCAACCAACCAGTTAGTCAACCAATCAATCAACCAACCAACCAATCAACCAACCAACCAATCAACCGACCAATCAATCAACCGACCAATCAATCAACCAACCAACCAACCAACCAACCAACCAACCAACCAACCAAAACTGGCAGATTTCCAGATAATGTCACTTTTCCTACAGAAATCATCTTTACAGGTGCAGCAGTCAGACAGCGTTGAACACTGAAGATGAATCGTCATGACACCTGCGGGGCGTCGGGTTGGCTCACCTGGGCAGGTGGTACAGAACCACCTCTGCACTGGGGCTGTTGGCTGTTCTCGAGTGATGCTTCAGATACATCACGTACAGCTGACCGTAGCTGCAGAAGGACAGACGGCGGCGTTCAGACAATATTTAACTCCACGTTTAAGCAAAAAAAATAAAAATAAACTGAGCCTGTGACGTACATGGTTGCCATGGCGATGTCTCTCTCCGACAGGCTGAGTTTGGCGGGTTTGGGGACGACCGGCAGCTCGATCTCAAACTTGGACATCTTGGACATGGTCCCGTTCTGAAACACAACAAGCAAGACGGAAATGATCAGAAAAACAACAAAAAGAATCGATTACAAACCACAGAAACTAGTTTTATACCAACTAGCCAGCGAGACATCATGCTATCTCCGCTAACTGCGCTAAAGACATCCTGTCCTGCTTCTGTAACGGGTGAATCTGTTCAGCGACGGATCAACAGTTTATCTCGTCTTACTCTGAAGGCGAAGGGCTGCAGGATGTTTCCCTGCACGGTGGTGGACAGCAGGATGACGGCGGTCTCCGGGCAGTACTGGTACCAGTTCACGTTGATGCTCTGACTCTTCAGCAGCTTCAGGCTGCGTTTGTCCGGAAACACCTGAACACAACACAAAGACAAGCCTCAAGGAGCAGACAGGAAGTAGCTCGTCTCAGATTCTCACCACGATAAACACCAAAATAAAAGTCAGGGTTGCTGTGAGGGGGCCACCAGAGGACAGCAGGGCCATAAACCTGATGTGGAAGTGGGATTTTCACAGTAAAAGCTCCGCTGTGGCTGGTGAATGAAAAAACGCTTGTCAAGTATTTATGTGGATTTTAGTAAAAATTCCAAATGTTGCCTGATTTGTCAATTCAAGTCATTTTTTTTTTTCATACAGCACATTTGAAATAACAGTCGTTCTGTTAAAATGCTTCCCTACAAAAAATAAATAAAAAAATATTGCGTTTAAGACCCGTCAGTTGGTCATGGCGTGATTTTATACGTTAGGGATGAAAAACCCGACAGAAGCTCCAGGTACCTGTCGGATTTTCAACTTTCTTTTCACTTTTAGTTTCATCTGGAAAAAACAACCAAATTTATTTATTTACGTTTAAAATCGGGACATTTAATTAAAATCACTTTAATCTACAAAAAGCAACCGTTTGCTTCGACCAGATTCTGTAAAAATGTTTGAAAAAAATTGGCGTTCTTCGGCACATCTGAGACGCTTCACGTGACTCGGCGGAGAGTTCGATGTCTTCGGCTGAGCTGCAGGCAAAAACGAGACGAGAGATCAGCTGTTCATTTGCCTGCTCGTCGACCCGGTTGGCCCAGCGCCGGTTACCTGGTAGAACTCGATGCCCTGGTCGGTGATGAAGACGATCTCGTTCCAGTTGGTCCAACAGAATCCCAAAACGTTGGCGTTCTTGGTCTGCGGAGGAAAAACCAAACAGCTCAGCCTCCTCCGCCAGCGCTAGCCGGACGTGTGACGTCGCTAAGCGGCGGGCGGCGGCGGCGGCGTACCTTACACTCCTGAGTGAACTCCGTGTGCGGGTAGTCGGGGATGAAGTTGATGAAATCCTGCAAATGCACATGAAAGCGGTTAAACGATGAAAACACATGAAGCCGACTGTGAGGAAGGAATGGAGGGAAGGAGCCGAGGACTCACCACAGACTTGGAGGTTCTCTGCACCGCCAGGATCTTATTCCCAATAGAGAACTTGATGCACTTCACTTCTCCTTTATCGTCCATCCTGGGCGCGAAAGAAAAACCACAAAATCACTTGTTTTAGTGACTAAATCAGAAACAGTCCTGCTGAACTGGAATCCGTTGAAGTTCTTCGTCCGGCCTGGAGCTACAACTTCTGTGAGGACTTCTTTCATCTCCTGCTGGTTCTTTTTTTTCCCAGCATGAAGGCAGCAGGTTGAAAACTCATGACTGATTATTTTTATTGATTAATCGACTAGTTATTTGATCTATACAATCGTAGAAAATGGTGAAAAACTGTCACTCAGTGTTTTCTGAAGTCAGAGATAACACACATCTCGTTTATTATCCTGTTAGACGCCTGCGTGAGCCGACGTACCTGAACGCAACGCTGCTCTTGTCATCCGGGCCTTTGACCACCACACCTGTGGCTCCACCTGAACGCACCGCAAACACCTGAAACCATCACAGCAGACCGGAGAGACAACTTAGAGCTTTAAACACACATGTGAAAGATCCCACAGAACCCTTTTAATGGTGTTTATTCTACTTTTGATTCTGGATTTATTCGTTTAATCGGCCTCCGTTTAAACTCAGAAAAACACCCCAACGCGGCGACTTAAAAAGCTTCAAGACAAAGTGTAAAAGAGACATAACGCAATAAAGAAAAACTCATCTGGACACAATTAAATGAGCTAAACAGAGAATAAATACAACAAAAGAGGAAAGCAAACGTTACGGAGCAGCTTCAGGTGTTTAAAGCTTTGATCCAATGAACAGAAAAGTCTTCAGTTCTCAGTTTTACTGCATTAAAGTACAAATACGGAGCCGAGCAAGAAAATAAAAGATGTCAGCGCACAATGAAATATTAAAACAAGAGGTTTTAAAATCAAATTAATTGACCAAAACAAGAACAACTGGAGGTAAAGTCATATAAATAACACCTGAGTTAGGGAGAAAACGACTTATTTCAAGCTGAAACTGAAGCTGCAGCAGAATTCACTCGTTGGTTTGGTAAAGATTTATAATAAAACACAGCAGGGACATAATGTAGGAGCCTTTTAAACAAATAAAACCAGTAATAAATGTTAACACAGTCAGAAACAGAGCCGAAGGCGTAAAAGTGATGATTTATGTACGAAAGCATCACTTATTCCTGTAACAGAAGCCAAGTTTGGGTCACATTTCACTTTGGACGCCTGACATTTAACAGTTAGCGTCTCGCTGATTTAAATTCTTACATATTTGTGCTCGTGAACACTTTTAAAACTTGTACCACATGAGCGGAGACTTTTACTTCAAGTAACATCACACAGGGTGGAGGAAATCGGACGATTATTTGGACAGTTTGTTAAACTGCTGCTAGCTTTGATTTATTTTTATTTATGATGCACGAGAAAATGAATCACAGAACAAATCCATTATGATGTGGACATGTTGGGATGTTGTAATTAAACTAACGAGGAACATTAAAGACGCAATAAGTCACTTTAACAGACTGATAAAGCAGCAAAACACTGCACAGGAACATGAATTACTACATATAATACTATAAACACTGCACAGGAACATGAATTACTACATATAATACTATAAACACTGCACAGGAAAATATTTTTTCCTCCAAAAAATCGACACACTGCACAAGAAATCGAAATACTGCATATTATAAAATGAAGTATTGCATATAATAATACAATTATTGCATAGGAAAGGAAATAGCGCACTTAAATTAGAATATTGCACAAGATATTGAAAAAAATACAGAAAAATTACAGTAAAAATTACAGTTAAACATTGCACATTACAACAGAGTGTTGTAATCAAAGCCATGAGGAACAATAACGTGTTTATGTTCACAACATCGTCATTTTAACGAAGCAGCTGTTCGTGTCTGAATGAAGCTAAAGTTGTAGTTTTGCAGAGTTTAAGCTAGCTGCCGGTTAATTGGAAATAATCGCTCTTTTATTACAATAAAAGTCAGAACAGCTGCTAAACTCTGACGGAACTCTGTTAAACTACGTCTTCTTTAGCTAAACGTGTCGCAGGATTTTACTGACGCCGATATTTGGACGTTTTTGAGGCTCCAAACTGTCAGTTAGCATGCTAGCTGCTAGCCGCCAACTAGCTCACCTGCTTGTTAGCTTCGTCGAAGAAGACGTTGTTGACGCTGGACGCGTGCTCGAACTGGACCGGGTTCTCGCTGAGCTCCAGGTAGTGCTGCTGCTGCTGCGGCTCCGCCATCCTCACACACCTGTCCGGCTCCGGCTTTCACCGGCGGAGCAGCGACTCGACTGACGGGAAGCAGCGGCGGAGCAGCGACTCTGGAGGGGATGCAGAGCGCCGGATCTCCGCCGCAGACCTTCACAATAAGAGCGGGGCTTCACTCTCTGAAACAGGATAGAATAAAAAGCTTTATTAAGTTATAGTTAAGACCAGATAAGACAAAATAAATCAAGACTAGACAAGTCAAGTCAATCAGGAACAAGTAAACTCAAAGCAACATCAGTGGAGCAACACGTCCTGAACTGTGTCTGAATGAGAAGTTTAATCACTGGAGAATCACGTCTTTAAATAATTACGTGAAATGAAGCAAACATTTTGCAAATCGAACATTTTACAGTATTCAACAGTTAAGAGCAACAATTATTCAAAAAATAAAAAACTAATCAAACATTTTAAGATAATCAACAAAATCACGTGACAGACTCAGTGTCCAAAGAAAAAGATGTTTCAGACCTTTAAACTTTCAATGCTTTAATATAAACTAAAGCGTGACACCAGCAAGAACACTTGGTTTATTTTCATGTTTTGAACAAACTCGAGGTCTTTTCTTTTGAAGGCGACAAACAGGAAGTTTGTTTCCAGCTCTGCCAGTCATGTGACAGCGTGTGGATCACATGCTTCAGATTGTAGTTTGTGGGAAACAAAACCAAAGAAACTCAAGTCTGGTGACTTCAGTGAACAAAAGAGGCCACAGAGGAGTTTCCATCGTCATCTTTTATTGTCATGAATCAGAATAAGCGCCATAAAACCAACATTTGTTTCAGCCCCGACAAAAACACACAATAATCTGAGACTCCTGGTACTAAGAAGCACACGTATGATCTCCAGCTTCTATGTTTAACTACATTTAATGACATGATGCACAAGGACCTTCGTTCCGTCTCCTTTTTAATCTCCTTTAAGACCCGACGGTTTGTGATCGTTACGATTTCTAGCTGCAGCTTTGGTTTGTCGGCAGAATAATAAAATGAGGATAAAAACGGTTTAAGAACCACCACCATCATGGCCGACGTTAACCCGGTGATCCTTTAATAAACCTGTTGCGCTGCCTCCTTTAAGAACTCGGCAGCAGGTGTTGGAGAACAAAGCTCAGCTGGTCCAGAATAGTGAGTTTGATGCGCTACGATTAGAATTAAAACACCGTCAGCGGCAGGAAGATGATCTCAGGGCGTCCCCCCGCGGCCAGGAGGTGGCGCTGCGTCCGGCCGGCTGCAGGAGTGTTGGGTGGTCGGGGGGCTGAAGGTCCCGGAGGCGGCGCCCTCCGCTGGGCGCCTCCTTTTACAGCGTTTTCAAACGGATTGTGAAGAGACAGCGAGCCGGGCGGGCGTGCGTTAGTCGTCGGCGTCGGGTTTTAACGGAGGAGGGCCGCCGTCCTCCGTCGCCACCGGAAACGTCTTCTTGCCTCGCCGCTGCACGTGGTCCTCGTTCCTCTTCTCCAGCGCCACGATCTGGAAACAAGAGAGACGTGTTTAACCCTCTGAACCCCCAAACTTCAGCCAGAAACTGTAGAAATCCTCAACTTTCCAGCGGTCCTTGAACTAACCACGTGTGAGACTGTGGAGAAAATTAATTAAATCTTCAAAACATCTTCTTTCTACTTGTCTCGTTTAAAAATGAAACCATTTGTGAGTTTTTTTTATTGAACTGCAGGAAGTGTTCAGACGAAAAACTATCAAAGCATCTGGATCATTTCATCTCACATCAGACCGTCAGAAGCTTTTCTGCTCGACTGTTTCTGAAACGCTTTTTAACAAACTACTGACAATTATTTATTTTTAATTCTACAAACGTTTATTGTGCTGCAACTCGCCAAACCTGCTCAATCAGTTATGAAAGTTCCACCAAAAACAACTTGTTTTTTATTTTCGTGACCAAGTATTTCAAATTAAAAGCATTCAATGTGTTTGTTTTGTGACCTGCAGCTGCGAGTTGTTCAGAAAATATCACATCATCAGGTTTTTGTTAATATGAGCTCAAAGATGGAGCTTTTCCTGATTTAATGACATGATGAGAAATCAGGTTTTTATCTTTCATAGTTTCTCAGATGTTGTCGTTCAAACGGCTTCAAACTTTAAAATAAAACCTGCTGAAAGTCGGTCGATGAGCACTTAAAGACAAACTTTCAGAAAGCATTAAATACATGAACTTATATTGTTAAAAAATCAAATAAATCAGAATTTGTTCCAGAAGAAGCCGATTTTAGATGGAACCATCCTATTTGAGGCTTTTATTTTGAAGGGTGCAGCTTCATGTCTCCTGTTTCAAGGAGCCAATTTCAGGCTTTTATTTTGAACACATCCTGAAATATTGACTTTCAAACAATTTCAATGTGCAGAAAACTGGCGAACAATTTCATAATAAAAGCACATCTTTAACTCTGGTTTAGGATCTAGCCGGGCTAACGAGGCTGCAGGTGGAGTTACTCTGGGGAACATTTAGCTTCAGTCCACCAGGATTTCCTCTGACTCCACATCTCCACCGCTCATGCTCCGGTTCTGCTTTAAACTGATCCGACTGACCAACACGAACTCCTCGTCGCCTTCAGACTAAACGCTGTTCTGCGCTAAAGCCGGCGCTCAGCTGCTGCGACAGCCAGACGGGTCCTCGGTTACCTCGGCCATGAACTCGGCCTCGTCCTCGGCGCCGACGGGGATGTTCAGGCCGGACACGGCGTTGAAAAGGTCGTAGACGCTCATGGCCTCGGTCACGCCTCGCTTCTGGAAGAACTGGAGCACAGAGAAGGAAAAGGAGGTGAAGCCGACAGTAAACACGGCACCGGTTCAACATTTAAACACAACCTGCTGCTTTGATTCACGTGTGGATGCGTCTGCGTCCAATCCTGACTGTCGACTCTTTGATGATGAACTGATCAAACGTTCTGTCCGATCCTTCAGTCTGGAGCTGATTCATTAATTAACAGGCTGGTTAATTATCACGACTGTTTCCAAGCAGAAACCCCAAACAGGCTCCTCCATCTCAAACCATCAACGTCCTTCAGCTTCAGCAAACATTCAAATTTCAACGACATCTGTGGAGTTTTAGCCGATGAAATATTTTACAAGATACTTTTTTTTAAAATAAAAATTGCCCGTCGAGTCACTTTCAGCAGTTTCTTTTTCTCCTCAAATTAAAATCTGAGGCGGTTTGAACAACTGTGTCCATATTTTATGCTATAAAAAACTCAGACAGATCAGAGACGGTCGAGCAGAAACTGGGTCTGAAAAGTTGCGAATTTCAGACGGAACGTTCGTATTTGAGGCTCTTATTTTGAAGGCTGCAGCTTGACATTTTGTGCTTTAATCAGCATTAATTTAAGGTTTTTATCTTGTGTAGTTGCTCAGATATTGTTGACATTAATTTTAACGTGAGAAAAACACCTGCTGGAGGTCAGTCAGTTTTTTAAACTCGTTCCATGTTGAGCTCCGATTTCACAGAAACCAGTTTAAGTTAATGATGAAAGACTTTCAGGCAAACGACAGACAGTCGATCAGAAGCTGTTTTCTGCTCCAGCTGCTTAAATGAGAGCTTCTGTTTATATAAACAAACATGTTTGAGGTTTTTCTGACTTTTTAACGAGATAAAAAAACGTCCGTTACCGTGGCGACGTTCCTGCAGTCCCTGAAAAGGAACTCGAGGCCGTGAGGATGGGTCGGCTCGATGGACTGGCTCACGTCGATCAGCCACACCTGCCACAGCGAAGAGGAAAACAAGACGGAACCATCAGAAGAACCGGCAGAACCAAAGGAGAGGGAACAGGAAGTCAGAGGAGGAGAGGGAACAGGAAGTCAGAGGAGGAGAGGGAACAGGAAGTCAGAGGAGGAGAGGG